GGGAAAACAAAAACCACGGAAAACGGAAACACGAATAATCAAGGCACTAGTATAGCCCCCATTTTCCAGTACAAACAGCAATGAAGTTTGATTAGGCACACCTGGCTCTTGAGTTTTGGGTTGGCTCCTTTATCTAAGAATACTTGGTGAGGCCTGATGTAAATAAAATGGTGTAAGTACCAACTGCCATTGAAGAACAGAAAATGTTTATAACTGAAATAAAGAAAGTTTGAACTGATGGCTCCTTCAAAGTAATATTTTGAAATATTTAAAATTATGTAGAGCTTTAAATTTTAATGCTTGTAATACGTAGTAGTCTGTGAAGAAGAACATTTGAACAAGTATTAGAGACCTAAAGACTTGGTTAAAATACTGAGAGAGTTTTCTAAGGAACTGGGTTTCTAGTGTAGTATTTTTTATTTTTTTCAGGAATATTTATCTTGGAGAGACATTTTCCTGTTACATTAGTGTCCACAATGATAGTAATCAGACTGTGCGAGATGTTTCAGTGACCGTAAGTATTGATTTTCTCAAAAATTAGACAAGAGAAGACACATAATTATTACTTCAAATATGCTTTGGAAAAACAGAAAGTATGTAAATTCAAATATTAATTTCTGGTTTGAGCCATTTAAAAACTTTGACATTAAACAGTGGATAGACTATAAAGAGTAGTAAAAACTGAACAAATTATATAAAAACCAGTGAAAAAAAATATTGTTACAACAGCGGAAGTCACGTGACGCTGGTAACATGTAACGAGTATCTTGAATGTTCCTGAAGGCTCAAGTGTTTGCTAGACGCACGCTCTTATTGTATAGAAGCCAGCAAATAAAGTGACGGCAGGAAGAGAATAGAATTGCAGACAGACAGAGACTAACAATTGAGTCAAGCGTGGTAGTGACCATAAGTAAAGTGCATGAATCGTTGTGAATTATAGCGTGTGTTTAAGTTAAAGTGACTGTGGAAATTAAGAGTATTACAAAGTTGAGTTGAGAAAGAATAAACTAGTTTTATTTAAGAAAGGACTTGTATCACTGAAGTTTCTCTGAAAGAATTTCTACCTAAAATTAACAAACGGACACAGAGACGTAACAATATACAGAGTACCAACGAACCAAGTGAAGAAATTGGATAGAATATAAAACAAAAAACAGTGAACAAACTGGATAGAATGCAAAAGAAAAAACAGTGACCAAATTTTTAGAATACCAAACAAGAAATTGAAGATACTGGATATAATAATAAACAAAAAGGGTTGAACAAACTTTATATGATACCAGACTAAAATCAGTGAAGAAATATGATGGAATAACACAAGATTTGAAAGAACTGATTGGAATAGCAAACACAGAAATTGTCCAAATTGGATAGAACAGCAAATATACACCTGGAAAAAAGTTAAGCACCCCCAAATATTTTTCAGGATTGCTTATTGAAAATAAGGTTTAATTTTCATGATGTTGAGCAATGTTCATAATTTCAAACATAATTAAAAGGATGTGAGCGTTCAAGTGTGACATTTAAAACAGGCGCGTTTTTTTCCCCACGTGCAACTTGCTCTCTTCTTTACGTCCAATATGCACTATTTTCTCGTGCATCAAATCCGTATTTAAGTCCCGAATTTCTGAATGCAAAATCATT